AAACTTTAATTTAAACACTTACCTTTTCTGACGAACCCGTGATAAACCCGTGATGATCCTGATCGACGATGTTGGACGACGATGCAACTGAAATCTTACAAGAACTAGTAGAAGCCCTCACCAGCTTTGAAAAAAATGGAGAGGTTCGGCGGATTAATATACCTAAATTCAAAGGTAAAAAAGGAGAAGACCCGTATTCCTGGTTAGACGCATACGAAAAGGGCACAAGGACCAACGGTTGGACGAGTGCGCAAAAACTAAGATGTGTAACAGATTACCTGGAGGGACGTGCAGCAGACTGGTACAAAGTCTGCCAGGACCGCCTTGAGCACTGGAACCATAGAGGCGACCGAAAGAGAAGCTTTGTGCCAGCCTTCCTTCGATGCATTGTAACGCTGAGAAGAGTCGACCCCGACGATGGCGAATCTGGAAGGAATGAAGTAAGAGCGTTCGTAAGAGGCTTGAGAGAGAAGATCGCATCAGCGCTTGCCATCAAGAGAGACGCCACGTTGGACGAGGCGATTGGAGAAGCAAACCGGGTCGAAGAGCATATGGAGCGTGGGCCGTACAAGACAAACCGGAACCAACGAAGGGACGAGGTAAGACCACACTGACAAAGAGACAAGACGAGGGTGCACCAGAAGGAGGACCAACGATGCTACCTAACGAGAACCACAAGGAAATCGACACCAAGGAAAAACCGAACTCGGAATCTGCTAGCCAAACGAATGAGAATACGACCTCGGTTAATGCAAGACGAGAGCGAGAAGAGACGAAGACAGCATCACCATCACCGTTAGGAGAGAAAGGAGAACCAACGGGGGATAAATCTAAGGAAGAGGATCAAGGGGGTATCACAGCGCCGATGAAGGAAACTACATGAACTTCGTCATACACTTACCCGCAAGGTGGGAACCACCAAAGCCACCTGATGAGAATTTGAAGGAAGAACCTACGAAATCACCTGGCGAGAGTCACGATGAGAATGGACCGAACACGGAGCCTACCTACAAGAATGATAAATCTGAGTGTGATAAAAGTAGGCTAGTCGGTAGAGAAGTTAAGTGAGAGGATGGCCAAATCGGAAACATGCCTCAAGAGTTAAAGA